CAGTTGGAGCAGCCATGCGCTGTGAGTAGTTTTTATCCAGATTCCCTGACAGCCTTTATTTTTAGACAGATGGGTCAGTCAATCTCTCATTAATACTGGCATACATATGGAAATTGCAAAGAAGCATAATGTTCACATTGATACCTTCCGAAAGTCATATCTATGCAGAAACAGTTCATTTAATCTTTCAGTTTTTCCCTTACATTCTATTCAAGTCAGAAAAAGAGAATCTATCTATAGATACATGTCTATGTTACCTAGCGGAAGATCAGGGTCCAGATATAAAGTCGATTATTTAAATGTTGAAACCACAAGATATGTTCATAGTAAGTAGCACAACAGGTCATGCAGTAGAGATAATAATTTATGGAGCATTTGTCATTAGTCTTTGGAGTCAAAATGTAGGTGTCCCACTATAATTGTATGCACGGAAAGTGAGATAGAAAGAAGAAATGTTCACACTAGAAATGATTGTCGACATTCTAAATGAACAGTAAGGACAAAATTTTGCCAATGTATCATATGAGAGTTTGAGAGTAGACTGCCTACACTGGAAATGCAAAAGACATTGTATTGGTTCCACTTTCCATTGGCTTAGGAGAAACACGTCCTACAGCAAGAGATCTTTCATGCTTTAAATCTTCATTTCCCCTTGAGATCTTCACTTCAGCCAATTCCATCTCATGACTTGACTGGTACGGTGAGAAGTCACACATAGCAGGGGATGCCGGGAAGTTTTGAGGAGTTCCTAGCTCACCCAGCTCATCCGACTGCCAAAAACTAGCATCTTTGGTAAAACTCGTAGTACCCATGTGAATGCTAAATAATGATTCATGAGAAGTTACACTCCACTCTGCTGGATTTGCAGACTCATCTCTAGCAAACACTGAAGAAGGGATCCTATAAGATTCGTTTGCGGAGTGCTCCATTACTTGCATGGGAGGTGATTCTGTGGTTGACGAATTGTCAGAGCATGACCTGGAAAAACAGTGAGTCCCTTCTGACTCTGACATGGAAGGTGACACTTCATGGTTTAAGGGTTCACTACTAATGGTAGAGCTCCCAGAAACAGGATTTTTGTTGTCTGAAAACTGTGATTTGTTATCCTTACCAAGTTTGGGTAAGTTATTAGCATTAACAGTGGAATCATCAGATTCATAATTAACCTTGCCAAAGGGGTCATTCAGTGTCGAGTCAGGTGATGTATTGTAGAAAGAGTCTGAGGAACTTAAAGTTTTCCCGCGAGGGGAGACTTTAAGTCCTGTAACAGCAAGGGTAGGAGGTGTCCCTGATTTTCCATCAGTTGCAGTAACATGCTTAGGCTCCATAGCTGAAGACATCTGACTCAATTCACCATGCAAAGTTGCCTTTACCAAGCCAAAGAGTCAAACTTCTACTGCCATAGAAAGAACTGAAATCAGAGTCAATTCAATGTTCAAATGGATCAATGATTAAATTTCAAATTGAAGTTTCAGGTATGAATTATCTACAACAAGCTTTCTGCTTGGCCCTATGCTTGCAACAACGATTTCCATGTGAAAACCCGACTTTCTTATGCTACTGATTTAGGACAAGGTCGTACCAATATTGAAGTTACAGTCAAGGCAATCCTGCATTTTTACAGCCCGTGCTAAACAAGAGATTGAAAAGGCAAACAGCGAAATCCAGAAGAAAAAACATGTACTACATAATTCTTGTATGTATGCTAGTGCCATAAAAAACCATTATTCAGTCTTATTTGTTGTCTTTGGCATTTAAGAGTTCAACCCCTCTATCCTTGCTTAAAATTTTAGAAACTGTTGAACTTTGGTGGAAAGTATAGCAACCAGGCCTAAAAATTTCTTTAAAACACCCACTCTTCCAATATACTAAACAACAATGTTTAACATAAGAGGATACAATCAACAAAGATGTCTTAACAATTCAATGGCTGCCAAGAACATGCATAAGAGGGTGTACAGTTTGTGTGATACAAAAGCAGTGTTTTTTGACATTTTCACCTCAAGCTCTTGTAGACCAAACAATTCCTTTGCATCAAAGATAAAAGTAAAAGCTAAAACGAGTCACCATAATCATCATTAACAAAAACAAAAATGAGTCACCATAATCTTCATTAGCAAAAACATAAATGAGTCATCATAATCTTCACTAGCAAAAACAAATATGGAGTCGCCATATCTTGAAAAATATGCAACTATAAGAATTCCTGAGCCCAAGGACTGCCTGTGTGTATGCAAAGGGACAAGCACTGAATAGAAGGATGAAAACAAGCAAGATATATGTGTTTCGAGTTCTAATAGTTAGAGTTCCTCTCTCAAATCATGAATCATCCCTCAGAAAACAGTACAAGTAAAACAACAAGAAAAACTACAAGGTGACACCAAAGGTAAGGGCCAGAGGAGACAAGGGTTCGGACGACTGAGCTTGAAATGCACTCTCGCATGCTTATTATCACACGGAAGTGTAATAGTTGAGACTAGTCTTTTCAATCTTTCCATCTATGACTAAATCAAGGAAGTTGATACACTTTCCGGGTCAAGAATTTGCAATACATTCCAGTCCATTGGTTTCCAAGAAAAAAGTTTATATATTAATTAGAACTTTAGTTAACCAAATAGCCTCCACAGAATTGTCAGCAAAAAGAATAGCCTCCACGGAATTGTCAAAAAAAGAATAGCCTCCACAGAATAGTCAGAAAAAGAATAGCAGCCTCAATGGAATTGTCACACAAGTTCACCAAATGGTTCTGAAATACGTTTATCATAGCATCACTTCAAGAAACTATTTGGCTCCTTGCTTTCAAAACCTACTTTTGCTCGAACTCTTTACTCGGGCGTGAGTTGGATTCTCCAAAAGTAGTGCATTTCTGGAGAGTCCGAGTAACATTGTTCAAAACCTTTCACACAGCATTATCTAGTTATTAACTCAAAAGAACAAATAAACATAGTGAAACACTGGTGCAATGCTCTCTTAATGAATATCATCCATCTAATTACCCAGCAATTAGGCCGAAATAAAAATTAAAGCAAAAACCCATCACAAAAATGCTACAATTAAGAAAAAAAATTGTAACATTTGGGATATAAATGAATAAATCGAGAAATCACGAACCGTCCAACTATGGAGCCCAAAAAACGGCTAAAAGCGCTGCAAAAGGAATGGGTCGTCGTCGAACCGGTAATTGCCGGCCGGCGACGACTGACCTGGGAGCTGATCTGAAAACCAAAAGACCCCTTTGGCCCTCGTCGTTATTCATGTAGTCTCTTATTCTGTGAAAGAATGGGGAAAGAGAAGAGCGTGGAATGAACGAAAATTTTCACACGCAAACTGAACGGCAATTTTCACAGAGCAGCGACATTCTCGCTGGATTCCATGGTGCCCAAACTTCCTTTTTTCCCGGAGTACGGACTACGGTTACGAAATTAACACCGTGTTTGGCCCCATTCACAATAACTCTATCCAAGTTTACTTTTTTTTTTTTAGAAAAAACAATTCTTTAATTTTAATTGCTTACAGATTTAATATCAAAATATTAGAAAATATTTTAATATATTTTACATAACTTTGATTTAAAAATCAAAAAAATTGAAACGGATGAGTGATGAGATGACCACGAGATATTTTTGGGGTGTATGTAAAAGCATTTTTGAACATAATTTGTTTAATTCGTTACAAAATTATTGAAAATAATAATGTTGGTTTATTATTGTGAGAGTAATTAATTTCACTTTTAGAATGAAATAAAATAACATTAACTACTTAGTTAGTATAGTTTTAATCAAATAAAATAGAAACTTAACTACAAAAATTTAATTATGAAATATTTTATCCTACAAATCAAACAACTCATATTTTTGAAAAGTATCTCGTTCTAATACGATATTTCTGTAAAAGCAATACCATAATGTCATGTAGTCAAACAAATAAAGTCAAAATATGTTTTTATTATTGTCGAGTCTCCTTTGACATTATTGCTAATTTTTTTTAATAGCTTTCAAGAGATTGTTTTTTGAATTGAAAAAAAAAACCTTGTGTTTGGCTAATCCAAAAGTGATTTTTGTCAGCAAATTGTGTTTTGCTAATCTTTGTTAAAAAGTGTTTTGAAAATCAAATTAAGATTAATGACAACTATGAATATATTTTTAACATTAATATTATTTCATATAGACAAACCAATTTAAACATCTATTAAAAAAAAAGAAGTTAAATTTTATTTTTATTAAATTAAAATATTCATATTCAAATTTTCAATCTATATTACACATTTTTTTAGAGAGTTGAAAATTTTAATCGTTTTCTTTTTCTTTTTTCTAACCTTGCAAAATTATTGTTATTACAGTTTTTTTTGTTATTCTGAAAAATAATATGTAGAATAAAAAAATAAAATATGAATATAAATTTACTACTCCCTCCGTTTCAAAAAGAAAGTCCTTATTTCCTTTTTAGTTTATTTAAAAAAGAATAACTCATTTCCTTTTTTGGCAATACTTTAACTTTAACTTTTCATATGACATGTTTAAGACCACAAATATTTGACATAACTTTAATTTAGAACCACAAGATTAAAAAAAAAAAAAATTCTTAAACTCCGGTCCAAGTCAAACTAGACCAATCTTTTTGAAACGAAGAGAGAATAAAAATAAAATTATTAAATAAAACTTAAGTGAACTTATATATATTCCGGTTGTGGAAGTGACGCAAGCGACAGGAAAATGTATTAGCTAGGCGCTTACGTTAATGTGACTAGGTATATCATTAATACGTCAACGTTAATTAGTAATCTCATGGGTCGATCATCCAACCCGACCCGTTTTCTCTCCCAATACTCCACCATAGTCAATAGTCAAAGGCACCTTGAGTAAAAACATAGACAACTCCCAAGAATTAAAAAATTACTTACTGTATCAATTAGAAAATTCTGATTTTAGTTATGCTTTGGAAATTATTTTCTTCTTATTGTATTGTACTAGGGTTGGATGTATTGGAGCTGAGTATTTATCGAAAACAACGTCTCTATAGAAATCTCATTTAGATTTTTTTCTAGATTTGTTGTTGATTTTAGTTTGTTAATGTTTCTAATCAATATCCGGAGTCCACATTAGAGTCCCGAGTGGTTAGCTGGTTTGATTTTAGTTAAATGAGAAAGAAACAACTTCAAATATTAGTCTTTAGTCTAGGTTAGCTGAATATATTTTTGCTTACTTTTTATAAGTAAGAAGTTTCTTTCTTCTTCCCTTTTGACCACTAAAGTTTTCTCTGTATTTTAATGGAAAAGTACTTGTTGGAAAATCAGCAACAAATCTCATTCCTCAATACTACCACTATGCGATGTACCCTTTTGTCCTTGTTTTGATTGGGCTATTATCTTCCACTAAAACGCGTAGAGGTGTGATCTTTCTATTCAGTTAACTCTTGTTTCAATAACTTCACATCTTATCATCCCTTTTACTATATTTTGTTCTTTTCTTGACTCAAAGAACCAATCTTTGAGGAGAGAGCTCCAAGAAACAAGCATAATCTTGGCTTTACCTACATAGTCTTTTAATCCCTTTTTAGCACTTGAACTTTGGTTTTGTTATGTTTTGGTAGTAACTTTCATGCCCATTCTTTGATGGTTGTTAATCTTTTAATGTTAGTGACCCTGAAAGAGTTTAAGAGATGTACATCCCAATTTTGTGTCCTTTGTTGAAACTTGTCACATTTCATTAGAGAATCTTGACCTTTTTTAGGACTTGAGGTTTATGGGGGTATTTTCTGGTCATTAGTCTGTGTTCTGAATTCTGTTGAGGACTTGGGGTTTAACTAAGGGGTGGGGGGAGCAGTCTTTTGTCCTTCTTGATTACCTAAAAAATTAGAGCTTGAGGTTGGTTTCAAGATTCAGGAAGGAAGGATCATCCAAAGTTTACTTTTGACTTTACCTGTTGCCTGAAAATGGAAGGCGATAAATCGACGGATCAACATGTAATTGCTGCAGCTCAACACCTTGTGAAGGCGTTAAAAGACAGGACAAGCTTGAGCGATGAAGTTAGAAGAACTCTAGCCGATCTTGACATTCATTTGGCTGCAATGACTGAAGCAAAAGAGGATGAGACCACAAGTTTCAAAGAGATCGAAGGTAGGTTGAAGTCAGCTGAGGCAAAGATCATGTCCTTGCAGTCAAATTGTCTGAAGTTATGGGATACTGGTCCTTCTAATCAACTTCTTGAGTATCTGCAAAATGTAGAAGAAGTTCGGAGTATAATAGTGAGCTTGGAAAGTATGGTGCTAAACAAGAACAGGAAACAAAGCAGACTTACTAATCAAGCTCACAGTGTTTTGCAGATTGCAATGGTAAGGCTGCAGGAAGAAGTTATCAATATTCTTGCGCAGAGTAAGCAGTGTTTCGAGCATGCATATGTGTCGTTCCATTCTTGTGAAGAGACCGTAGTTGATGAGGAAATGATGGTCTCAATTGAGTATGACTCAATTGAGGGAACATCTTGTCTGGATAGTAGTAGAGCTGAATCAGAAGAATGTATAATAATGGATTTGGTCCATCCAGGCGTTGTTCCTTATATCAAGTCCATTGCAGATCTGATGTTAGCTTCACATTATGTTCAGGAATTTTGCCAAGTTTTTATCAGATTCTGGAAAGATGCATTGTATGAATACTTGGGGCTTTTCTGTATGCAACAAATCAGCATTGAAGATGTGCTGAGAATGGACTGGGCAAGCTTGAATTGCAGAATTAAGAAGTGGCGTCAGGCAACGAAGAATGTCATTGCATTCTATCTCCCTAGTGAGAGAAACCTCTTTGATCAGATTCTTGGTGAGTTTGGATCTGTCAGTTCAACATGTTTCATTGAGGTCTCAAAGGATGCCATGATGTGTCTTTTGAATTTTGGCCAAGCTGTAGCTATTGGTCCCCTTCTACCAGAACGTCTTTTTTGTTTACTCGACATGTATGAGCTTCTTAGAGGTCTTTGTCAAGATGTGGATGCTTTGTTTTGTGTAAACCATGGTAATTCCATTCAAGTGGAGTACCATGAACTCATGAAAAATCTTGGAGATTCTGCAAAGGCAATCTTTCTGGGGTTGGGGAATCGAATTGCTTCAAACACTTCAACAACTCCCTTTCAAGGAGGAGGTGTTCATCCTCTGACCAAGTATGTTATCAATTATTTCATGCTTCTGTCAGAATATTATGTTACCCTGAGGTTCCTTTTAGAGGACAGAGAGGTAGAGAATTCGGGTGAAGTTGTCGATACACTGGTCAAGCTCGACATTTCATCCGAAATCCCATGTCCATTGGCTTTTCACTTGCAGTCAATAACATCCAGGCTCGAATCCAACCTTGAAGATAGGTCCAATTTATATAAAGACGATTCTTTGAAGCACATCTTTTTGATGAACAACATCCATTACATGGTCCAGAAAATCAAGAATTCCAAACTCAGAACCTGTTTTGGTGATGAGTGGATAAAAATACATATTGTAAAATATGTGCAGCACGAAAAAAGCTATGAGAGAAAAACATGGAATTCAATCATATCTTTGATAACCGGTTATGAGAAGTTAGGGAAGGCAGTTCTGAAGGAGAGGTGCAGAAATTTCAGTATTGCTTTTGAGGAAGTGTATAAAAACCAGACAGGATGGACTATTCCAGATATTGATCTTCGAGATGATTTGAATGTTTCAATCGGATTAAGGGTCATTCATGCCTACCGTACATTCGCTGGAAAGGTGAGAAAATCTCTCAGTGAAAAGCACATCAAATACACAGAAGAGGACTTGGAGGAGTATCTCCTGGACTTTTTTCAAGGTTCAGCAAAGTCTCTTAATCATCACTGGAGGAGGTGAAAGTTGAATAACAGTAGTAGTATATTTTCCTGCATTGAGCGTTTCAATTGTCTTATCTTTTGTAATTTATCAACATTAGTGTTGTAGTTCCCCCACCCCCACCCTAACACACACCACACAGATGTATAGTTGTCCATAGTTTTCGAGTTCAATCTAGTATTGCAACTTTATGGTATATGCATTCCTTTTCATCTGTGTTCCACTCTCATTCTTGCTAACACTCTGTTGCTGATCATTTGCAACACGAGTGTCCCAAATCACTTGTCATAGCTATGTCGTTCAGATTCCTAAAAAATGTTGCCCCATCCTCATCAGAATCCATCAAGAAGGCACTATTTTTGGATGATCCAACACTAATCTGATGATATTTTTGGGAAGTCAAAACAATGTAGCTAAAAGTGGTCAAAACCACTGAGCCATAAAGGTTGGAAGACAGAAGATGACTTCAGATATTTAAGTCTGATAGACAGGCCTAACTACTTTAGATATTCAAGTCATGGCATTCAATACATCTGTACAGGTAAAAGAGAAAACTTGTATGAGCACATGCTCAGCCACCTATCAAATCATATTGATTTATTCTTTTCTCGGTGTTAATAATGCAGAAGTTCAGCACCCCATAACTATCACTGAACATTTGTATCATTTATGCTTCATAGTTAAAGTAAAAGTCGTTTCAAGTCTTCTTCTTGTACATGTATCTGTAGTTTTCAAATTTAAAACCTATGTTGGTGTGAAGGTCTTGACTCTTTTGAGGGAACAGTGGCGCTAGGGGCTAATATAATGATGATTGATACATTTATAGGGTCATTTGGTAGCTGATTAAGAAGAGCTAAGTAATCTTGCATAAGTAACACCATGTTTGGCAGCATCTTTTTGCTATGCATAAAATACAACACACCTAATATAATGTTCGGTTTGCAATTTAGAAACCGACAAAACTAATACATATATAAGTTGGAGAATCTACGTATATTTTATGCAGGATAAAAGATGGATAACTAAACAGTCACAAAATAATATTTAGATTCCATTATAATTGATCTTTGTATAACTACCGATTACCAAACAACACCAACTATTCTGATAAGGTGATTTTCCTAAACAAGAAAGAACAAGTGAAGTTAGAAATTAAACCTCCTGAGCATGAAAAGACACTGTTGGAAGTATTTTCAGTAACGAAAACAAAACCTCATAATCTTTAACTAATCAGAACACGTAACCAATGATCAGGTGGACTCATGTTCAATCACTCCATTGTACTTGACACATCATGATCCTTTTTCAAACAAATTACAAGTCAACAGAAACTTGGTCATTACAGGCAACTGTAGTTACTCAGATGAGTTATACAATAAATACATGTTTCTCTCAGTAACCTTACTTTCAGTAGTGTCAAATAACAATAAAATCTAACACTTATCTGTTTAAGCAATCACAACTCACAAGTATAAAGGACAAATAGTGTAATGAATAGACATAATCAATTTGAAAAGAATGTGAGGCAGAGCTTACATAAGATGCCAACTCTAGCTTCAGAGACTTCAGATTTTCTTTGGCATTTATCTTTATGTCCCTTAATATTCTCCTCTTCCCCTCCCCCCCCCCCCCCCCCCACACGTATTATACATGAAATCACTCCTACTAACTTCATGGATTTTTTTTTGGCAGAAGTGTCAAATAATTGTCCAGTTTCCATATTACCTTTTTCGCAATAAGGAAACTAAGGACTAAGATTTCTTAAGCGCTTAATGTTCCAGTCGTGGTTTCGAGCCAAAGTTATAGATCCAATGACTGTGGCTTTCAAAGAGCATCGTTCTCTTAATTTTGTATTTCCATTCTGTCAAATGAATCAAATTACTTCCCTAGCATAGTGGTTAGGTACATTACCAATGGCCATGTTGTCTCAAACAGACGATCAAGACTCAAAACTTACTTTAACTATAGAATAAACAATACTTTCTGCTGACATTTTAATGATAAAAGAGCTATTTTTCACACCCCAAAGTCATGGTCAGCCAGTTGGAAGCACATTCCTCTGCAACAAAAAGAAGGAACTTACCCTAAAAATTGTCAAAGGCACTCAAGCAATTTGAGTACAGTATATGTCTCAGAAGTAACACAGTGAAGGCAAAATAGACACGATGATGATCAATGTTGTAATTTTGTTCCACTTTTGTGTTTGTGAAGGTCAATCATGAAAGACAACATTTAGTTAGATTACAGAAATGTGTCTCCCTGTTAATGAAACTGTAAAACTGCATCTGACTGAAACAAAAAAGATCACCCAAGATCATTTTTCCTAGATCGAAGATATCAGTCATTTCTATGACTGATTCAATAAAAAATAGAAAACACACTTTATAGCTATAGTACATATTTGTGGGTCTCACTAAATTCAAGAAAAATTGTGCAGAAAGAACTATAATCATTTCAGCCATACTTCACTTTCTCATCCCTCCCTCTCTATATAGCTTGACTCACAATTACTTGAGCACTGTCCCTGTCACCTTGTGCTTTCCTAAAATCAATTTCTTTCCTGCTTTAGGTTATTGGTCACTCTGCATGTGGGCAATAATAACGATAGTTAATGTCATGAGCCAACTATAATTGGTTTTTCTATGATATGCATGCACCACTATAAAAGGCATAAGCTATATGCCAACCTATTGGTGCGGTGTTAATGATTTTCTAGTGCAGCTAGCTCGTATATCCATTGAGTGGCACTTCTTCATTTCAGACATCTTGAAGAAGACATCTTGAATCACTACCTGCTTCCCTTTTATTTCACAGACAATTTTTGCCTGCTACAACTAGTCGATCAAGAGTTGCAGTTTGGCCAACTTGGAGCATGGTCCAAACAATAAAAAAAGATGTTATAACAGATATGCGGGAGAAATATCATTAATTGAAAGTAATACATTGTCAACGAGGAAATCATGCTCCTAAAACATCAACAGGTTTATCGAACATTGTACAACAAAGGTCTCAAGCAATAGCCGAGTTAACAAATAAAATAAGACACCTAGCAGAACGGACACAGGAAGAGCAGGCAAAGCTTTCTGATAAAATGCAAGAAGCATCAGAGTGATACCAAGACCAGCTATAATAGCAAGATAACATGCATAAACTGTCATGAAATCATACATCGCAGCCCTGGCAACTAATACACTGTAGAATATGAAGTCTCCTAGCCCCAGCTTAATAGCACCTGACGATCCCAAACCAATCCCTTCAAGTGCAAAATCATCACTTGACCCTTCCTGTAAATTCATTCGGACATTTATCCTATGCTGAATTAGCGGTGCAGCCAGCTCAGAATCTGAACTTGAAACTTGACCATCCTCCATATCAACACCATCCTCCACATCAACAGCATTCCTCTCGCCGATTGATGGAAGGCTTTCGAGACCAGTACTTGATTCCAAACTAGAATAGACAGTTGAATTCAAGTTAGACCTAGAATCCAAATTTTCATCAGAGCCAATATCATTGTCCCTTCTTTCTCTCCAAACTCTCCTTTGCACAACAGCACCCCTTTGAACTGAGTCGGGATTAATAATGGGGCGAGCTTCATAAACCAAAGCCGGGATATCTTCATCCCTAGATATTGCAAGTTCAACAAGTAGCCTTAGAGGTCCACCCGGTAACAACACAGCTGCAAGGTCATACAATGACATTGCAACCAAAAGCACCCAAGTCGTCCATTCAGGCAAGAGTGTAAACCAATAGGCAACCAAAACTCCAATAACAACCAGATATCCTTGGGTAATTATAATTGCCGTCTTTGACATAAACACAGCCAAAACCCCAACAACAGTGAAATTAAACAAACTCAAAGCAAAAGTAACGCAATCAATGGGAATCCTGAATTTTCCGATCAAGAACAGACATATTTCACCACCCATGAATCCCAAAACAAGAAAAGACGAGAAACCCATGTAGTATTTCAAGAATTTGGTGCATCTGAAGTAGAAAAGTAAGACCAAAAGGAATGTAACAGCAGTGACAACAACAACAAAGACTAAAGCATTCAAAAGGGCACCTTTCAATTTGTCCCAGTTTGAGTCTGAGCTGCTCTCACTATAGGCAACTGTAGCTATAGAGGTAAATGAAGGACCTGAAGAATCTGAATCATTGTTTAGTACTGAAACAAGGATAACCACCAATAGCATACAAATTGAGACTGGTGTTACAATTCTCACTATTTCTTCACCCAGTGAATCAAGAACGCTTCTGGGCTTTGAATTTTCATCCATCTGAACCCTAAAATTGAATTAAACTTCGGATTCCGAGAACAATTTTTTGGATTTTCAGTGTTCAGTTGATAGTCTGGGAAAATTTGGGTATTTCCAATTTTGACGTTGGATCTTGTGAGATTGCAACAAAACGGTAAACCCGACCCGAGTTGTGAATATGTGTAGCTGGCCTAATCCACGAGTCCGGCCCAAACTTAGCAATGATTGGGCCACATTGTAAATACAAGTTTTTTTCTCCTCAAGCTCGGTGTGACAAATTCGATTGAGAATACATAATAGATTCATAATTTCTTTATAGAATATCTTTGTTATATCAACTCAGTCACTCGTGTGTGTAAAAGCTATATTCCATAGCTAAAGTTATTATTGATGTTGATTAACTAAAGTTATTTGTTATTATCTTAGTTATCTTTTAAATGAGCTAATGATATAAATTTTTGGCATAATATACATATTGAACCCTAAATTTGACTTCAAATTTTAACTTTGATCTCAAACTTTCATAGTGCACAAATAAGACACTTTAACTAAACATTTTATATGTCGTTTTTTTTTTAAAAAAATATCTTACATGTTATTTTGAAACTAAAAAAAATTAAAATTAATTTTAATAAATATAAAAGAGATTCATTAAAGGTAGAATTGTCATTTCGACATTTTTTTTTTATTTTTGTGGGCCTCGAAAATTACCCTTCACTCGCGCAGAATGCGTGCATTTCGCGCATTTTGCCAGGTAGGAATCACGTGTTTATTTATTGAAAGATGGGATGATTAAAGTGCCTATTTGTGCACTATGAAAGTTTAAGGGTAAAGTTAAAATTTAAAGTCAAGTTTATGGTCTAATATATGTATTATGCCTTGTATATCAATCTTTTTGGCATAATACATATGTTGGACCCTAAACTTGACTTCAAATTTTAATTTTGACCTCCAACTTTCATAATGCACAAACAGACACTTTAATTATCCAACTTTTAAATAAATAAACACATGAGTCCTACATGACAAAATACATGTAGAACACCACAAAAAAACATGTAGGACACATGTGTCTATTTGTTTAACTTTATACAACTATAAGTGTCTACTTGTACACACCCAAAATTGAAGGACGTAAATGTGATTTGAAGCAAAGTTAAAAGATATATTTATGTAATACGAAGAGGTAATGTTAAATTTCGAGGATTTTTCGCAATCAAGACACCAATTACATTAACTCATAGAATGATCAAACTTCTCTTTCAAAGCATACATACTATATAAACTAAGGAACCATTGACAAGATAAACAATACCTAGTGTTTAAAGGGCTTAATTCTCCCCAGTATTATCCCAAACAATTAAACCAGTAACAGTAATAACAAATGCAGCCCCCAAGTTAAGGGTTCTGGAGACAATGTAACCACTTTCCTTGCCAAATATTGTAAACACCACATCAGAGTAGTTGAAACAAATCAACACGATACCAAGCACAATCAAGAAAATTGATATTTGTTGAACATTCGCTCTCCTTTCAACAAGGAGCAAGATCCATTCGTCTTCTTCTTCTTCATCATCTTTCAGTGTCTCGATACTATCAGTAGTATCATCTGCACACGCGATACTACCTGTAGTATCATCTACACATGCGATACTACTCGTGGTATCTGCACTGACACCACTAGTAGTATCTACACATGCCTCTTCTTTCTTGTTACCGCGCTTGAAAAAACTAGAAATCATATTGAGGATCGTCTTCTTCTCCTCCTCCATACCTAGTCACGAGAGAACTAAAAGCTTGATTAATCAAAATCATATACAGATACGAATTCAAGATTATTATTTAATTTTAATCTGACTTTTTTAGATTTGTACCCATGTGTCCCATTATAAATGTATCATGTTTAAACTATCTTTGAAAAAAAAAAATTTATATGTGTTTTTCGTTAAATTGAGAAAGAATTGCATCAAGTAATACATTTCGATGATCAATTAATTTTGACTCTAAAAAAACAACTAATTTGAGACAAAACGATATTTATATAGTAAATATTATTTGATTTAATTGAACATCAAAAATAAAGTTTAAATGATAAAAACACCGAGGAAAAAACTAAAGTAATTTATTTGGACAAATTTAAAAGTAAAAAACAATTGAACTCCATAATTTGCAAAAACATGCCTACATGAACCAATGACGGATGTAGAATCCACCGTTCACGAGAATTCAATATATTTTAAACAAATCAGATATATATATTAAAAATATTGTGATCGATCATTATCGAAAAGCAAAAAGAAAAAGGGAGAGACGGCTAACCTTTTGAAGTCTAAAACGTTTGCCGATTCTTCTTAATAGAGAAACCTAATAAATTAATATCATGCGCCAATACTAAATATATACATACATAGAGAGATTGGGGATAGCTTGGGCTTAAAAAAAAATGGGACTAAAAGTTAAGTGTTTGAGTCATAAGAGATGAAGGACTCATGTCATTAATTATCGAAAAAACTACATAACTATGCATACATTACTACCATATATATATATTATATTTAACTTTAGTTTAAAATAATTACATATATTACCATTTTTAATATTTATTTTATATATATTAAAATATTTAAATGAATACACAAATCCCTTAAATTGATATAACATAATTATTTTAAATTAGAACTCCTTAAATAGGGGTAAAAAATTTCTACTATATTTGCCATTTCTCCCCCACCGCACGTCCACCAGCGCTCTTTCTTCCTTCCTCCTCAATATCAATTTAAGGGATTTGTGTATCTATTTAAATATTTTAATTTTAATTATTTTAAACTAAAGGTAAATATAGTATATATGGCAGTAATGCATGTGTAATTAGGTAGTTTTTTCGGAAAAATAATGAACGATAATGTAGAGAAGCAGAAATATTACTTTTAAAAAAAAATATATATATGCATTTACCTTATCATCGAAAATTCTAAAAAGAGTATGAAAATTTGAAACCAAAAAACACAAATGATATATATGAATTGTTTAATTTACATGTTGCTTGATGATAGATCCCATGATCCAGATTCATTTTTCAATGAGAATCATGAAAAACTATTCAATAGTAAGAGATAACACGTTAAAAATAAGCTTCGTTGTTGAGCCCTTGTTGTGGCAAAGAAGAGAAAAATACTTGCTGAGTAGGTAATATTTCATTTGACATGAAAGAGAATCATTTTGAAAATCAAATTGAGTTAAAAATTGGGAGAAATAAGGAATCTATATAATATTTTAGAAGGGTAGGAAATAATAAAAAATAACATAAGAATAGAAAGGTAGGGAATAATGAAAAATAACATAAGAAAAGGTGTGTATATAGATGATTTATCCTATTTTTAATGTTTATAGATCTTTTTTTTTTGCCTTTGAACTCCTTTTTCAAGTCATATCTGTTTTTCATTTAGATATTGTCTATCCATTTTCTTAGGGGCAGGGGGCTGACACCGACCCGCCGGAAGGTCGAGGAAGTTGGTGACATGATAACAAGGGAGTCGGCGGGGGCAGGGACTTTGGGGGTCAGAAGAAGGCATCTTCTGTGAGAACACAGGCAAACAAGCACATAAGTTGTGTTCATGAAAAGCAGTCAACTAACTGCAAAATCTTTAATCTGATTTCACTATCTATATGTTGTGAATGTATCAATGTTCATTATCATCAAGGGAGAACAATGCTCTCTGCACATTTAAAACTGCTGGAGAACCTTTCTTTGCTTTCTCCACTATATGCCTAATTAACAACTTTTCCATCTCATCATCACTTTCATCATTCATCCTATCATTTTCAATCCAGTCAAAGTTATGCTCACGTGAACGCGAGTTCTCTTGATGGTTGATGTCCATAACTCCTGGTGCAACAGCAACATCCTCCTCCTCTGAATTTAACCTTGTGAACACGTTATAAGCCTCGTTATATGCATCTAAAGCATCCCCGCGTAAGTTGATTGTCATTGGCTGGTCTGCTGTACGTTGTTCAACTTTAGTTACAGGACTACCATGGGTGGAAGAAGAACCCCCTTCACTATTTGACGAGTCCCTCCATGAACTTACAAGTTCTGCTTCCATATAACGAACTTTCCTTTCACTGTTCTGAAGTGCCATCTCAAGCTCCTTGACCCGGTCTTCTAATTGTGTTTGGAGGACTTCGTGCAGCCGCAAAGTCAGCTCTCTAGGTGAGACGGCATAATTAGCAGGATGAGGAGTTGAGGTCCCGCTACCATCCTGATCTGCATAAGGTTGACCTCCGGCTTGTCTATTAAAGAGTTCAGTTCTTAACTCCCCCTTAGCTAGATCTGTCACAAAATCTGGATCAAGCTGCGAAAGATTGAACACTTGTTAAAGCTTCTCGAATATAGCAGATGACTTATACATGTGTAGCTTAATTTGTACAGCAATGAGATTCATTTTCATTTCCTAGTGGATGTAAAAGAGTTGCACCAGTCATAACTTCCAAGTCTCTCCTGAGGGACTCTCCTGTGAATTCTTCAAACAAAAACGTTGATTCCTTCTAGAAAACAAATATGGATGATACTGATCCTACAAAGCATAACCTAATGGTCTTCCTAATAAAGACATCAAAACTTCCTCATTGGAGGATCAAGGAAAAGAGCAACTTGATGAAGATTGAGATTGTTGATTCTTGGAAAAGTTAGAATCCATAGTAACTGATAACTGATAATAGACCGACAAAAAATTCAACAAAAAACTGGTTTGAAAACATTAAGAAGATCTCCAACACAAAGAAAGCAAATTAAAGCACAGAAACCTATTCGCCAGAAACATCATGACGTACAATTTTCTCAACTTTCTAAAGAAGAGCCCTCCTGACATAGTATAAGCTGAAACAAAGTTGTCTACCTCCTATACTATCCAGATCAAGAGAGCTGCGAGAGGAAAAAATTGGGAGGACTTGAAGACAGCACCAGGATATAATGGCTAAGAGAACAACAATTTTTTTTATAAAGTTCAATTAAGACATTATTTCTGATCATATGACTAAAACTATAAGGTACACATCCTACTAACAGAAGCATTAGAGACTAAAGAGCTCAGCAACAATATGCAATATGCCCACCAGAGATCAATAAGCAACAGATATCCCCCTGAATAGTTATTTCTAATAGCAAAAACTGATGGAAGTATCTATCTTGCATAACAGACAAGTTTAAACGAGTTTAGGGTTTGTTAAGCATCTAAATGGAGCGAAATGGATAGTAAGGATTCATATAGCAAACCCAACTTAGGGTTGAGGCATACTTTTCATTGTAGTGTTTGTAACGTGCTTCATAGATATTCCACCAATACTTGTTACTTTTCACCAACACAGGTACCAGATTTCTATCCCACCAAAGTTAGGCAGTTGGGAAGGAACCGCCTAGTGTCTTTTGCCTCTGTTCGGCTTTAACTTGAGGCCATGGTTCTCTTCCTACTTCATTGTCCACAAGGCCACACCCTTCGATGCTTGATTTAACCTTATGAAATAGTTTCAATATCCGAACTCTAATTTCTAGCATACGATTCTTTTTCCATTGTCCTTCAGCTCCTACTTCCAATGCCAACTATAATAGAAAATTCAAGCACTATACAACAATAACAACATACCCAGGGTGACTCCAAAAGTGGGGTTTGGGGAGGGTAGAATGTAGCGACCTTACCCGTACCTTGGGAGGTAGAGAGGTATTCCCGGTAAACCCACTGCTCAAGGAAACGCATATCAAAGCCGATCGAAAAACATAACGGAAGTGAGAGAAAATTCAAGCACTGTATACCCATAAAACACTAATCAAGCTTATCTATTACCAACCATAAGCTCTAGGGTTCCTTAAATAACATAAGTTCATAAGCTGTCAAAGTCAACCAACTGGTAGATCTTGAACCAAAATGCTTAAGTGCATATAGTGACTAAGTTAACTTCTCTGATAAGACTATTGTATTTTCAAGAATGGAGTATCCAAGTAAGCAAATGTATTGCATATTAGAGTTGCTTCACGGGAAAAAAAAGAAGAAGCATAGATATGAATAAATCAGAAATTATTATTACCTCGTGTAGCTCTGCTAGTTTCCCCTCCAATTTAGACGAGTTCATAGTTAATTCTAACCTCTCCAATTCAGCTTCAAGCTCTGCTTCAATTTTACTCCTAGATTCTTCCTCTGTTTTCTGGCTTTGACAGTCTTCATCATAATTTGTTGGCGACTTATCCATCTCTCCTTTAGGGGAAGGCGCCTGTAAAGCTCCATTATTGGATGAATCATTATGTGCATCTTGTGACCCACAATCTTCAGTGGCAAGCTCTTTCACAGTTAATAATTCTTTCATTTCAAGTTCCTCGTGTAGATCTTGAACCAAATTCTCAGACTGTCTCAGCATCTCATTTAACTTATCCATTTCCTTTCTATTTTTCCAGAAAGAAGATATCATACCCACAGATATTCCAAGACAGAAAAGAAGCACACGATGAGATGATCCTGATTCAAGAGAAACATAAAAGGGTGGGATTATAGGAGATGTTAGTATTTCTTTCCAAAAAGAAAAGAAACTTAGAAGTTAGTAAACAAGTAGTATTCACTCATTGTGCCATTAGCAGGAATGCCATGGACAGTAGAGAGTTTGTAAAGTCTTAGTATCTCAAGTAGAAGTTCAAAAGAAAGAAACAGACATGACACTAAGGTAAAAAATGTACAAATTATTTTTGTTCCATCAACTGTTGCAGGTAAAGGGATGAATCAGTCATGAGTTCCATTATGTGAGAGTTTAGTTAACTATCACTTGCACAGGTTTGCACTAGAATAATATCCTGATGGAACTATCTGGAGCTACATCCCCTACAGTTTTTGAACACTTCCTAGAATGCTCCTATTCCAGTGTTCAATATATTGGAATATAATACGTATCTATTTCATTAAATTTTACCAAGGAAAGCATGACAAAATCAGACTCCAAACAGAAAAAAGTACCTTGCAAACTGCTTTTTCTCTCATTGTTCATTCCAATGGAATCACTAAATCTGCTGGACTGATCCTTCACCTTGCCTTTCCTGAGGAGCTCCATGGATCCAACACTAGGTAGTTGAGGGACTCCCGATACAGTATTCATTTGTGAAAAATTATCCTGCTGCTTTTGATGTCCAGCACTTCTTGGGGCATTAATAGAATTAGAACTAGCCCTGCTTATAATTTTGCTCCCGTCAGTAACTACAAAAGGCCTCGCAGTTGGAGTCCATGGTGAAGAGTTTGAACTGAAAATATGGTCTTCAACATCACCATGTTCCTTGTATAATTGAGCCATGAGACAACTTTCAAGAGAATTCAGAGGCTTTATAAGATGCCCAATTTTTCGTCTACTCCGAAGGTTGCTCTTTTTCCTTGAAGTACCATAAGAAAATGTCAATTCAGCAGTAGATGGGGGGAGTGATGACTCATATCCCAGTTCATTGATGTTACCACATATGCTTCCACCCTGATCTCCTTGAAGTTCTTTACCACACGGCAGCCCAGAGTTCAAATGGAAATCATCAGAATCACACAACATCCCTAATCTTTCATCAGCCAAACTGCTGGAGCAAGCCACTTCTGGATCATGGAAAGCCAATCTTTCTGCAGCACACTCATCTAGTTTCTTTCTCGGTGTCTCCACAGGAGAGGAACAATTCTTATCCGAGACTTGATGCATACGCGTTAATGAATCATTTCGTACAAAACTAGGACTACCAGGAGATGATTCTAACAAATCATGCCGGCTTCTTAAGAGGTTCTTCCAATGCTGGGCTACATAACCAGCACCAGCAGCTGCAGCCACAACCCAAATATCCATGTTCACTGCAATCCTCACAGCAGCTATACTAACCTAGCTCTACAGCCGGAATCTACCTGTTAGAATCATCTTCGGCAAAGGCAAAAACTACTCCAATGCTAAGACAAGATAAGTGCCAGAGAAATCACAATGAACAGGAAGTTAACACTAAACCTCTGTGCTTTGATTCAAAAGGGTGTGAAGAAAAGCTAGGATTGCCTCAATTTCTCCAAGTGAAACAAAGAAAAACTTATCTAGGTTCTGTAGAAAGGAAAAAAAGTTCTGTTCTTGAGGAGCTATAGCCAAGAACCCTAATGCAAATGGGAAAGAAAAAGCGAAAAATCACCAAATGAGGAAAGATTACTCTTTAATCAAACAATCAATATCCAAAACTATTCAATTTTTCTGAAGAGCGGCAATATCCAGAAAGACCAAATACGACTTGTCAAACCTGTAAACTTTACGAACAATCACAAGCCATATTCAATAACCACGAGCAACAACCTCAATCCCTGAAAAAACATACGCAAAAACACCCTTTCTGCAGCGCACGACGCATCAATAAAAAAGAATCAATTTTTCCCAATTAAAAAAAAAAAAGCAAAAGAATCTAAAGACAACCCATTTCAAAGACGCATGTGAAGTCCAAACCCCACCAATAAAAAACTAACCAATTTCACCAGAAAACTTCACCGAACTCAGCCACCACTATAAAGTAAGGGACTGTAATCTTGAAAAATGATTTGGGGGTGTTGAAGATAAAGAAAAAAGCTCACTCTTTTTCAGAGGTTGGTGAGAAAAGGGTCACACAAGATTAGAGCAGGCATGTGCTGGGGCATTTGTTGGAGATTTGGGTCCTCCTCTCATTTTGCCCCATTATCTACACACAAAGGCGCAGGTTTTTACAGTAAAGAAAATTTTCCAATTGGACAAAAAATATGTTATTTTTTTTTAGTTATTATAACAAAAGTCTCTTGTTTTTTCCTTCAAAACATAAGGAAAGTGGTCTTTTATTTTTATAGCCAAATGGAGATGGATGATAATTAATTGGAAGATTATGTAATTAATTGGAAGATTACTTTTATCAAATTTACTAGGATGTAAAATATAATACAACTTTGGTTCACCTACCATACCATTGTGATTTATCCGCGATACATTCTCAATTACAATAAATTATAATGCCCTTAAAAATATAACAGTAGATAGCTTGGAAAAATGACTTCGACTCAAGTTTTGAGTTTTATGTATTTTTCAACCAATGTCAATATTTGAAAACAAAACTTGTTCAACTATTTGAAGATGAAATAATGTAAATGTAATGTCACATTCTTGTAATTGTCAATCCAAAAGACCAGGTCTGTCCGTCTCTATTTTCATTTAATATCCTATTTTTAAACTATTTAAAGTTCAACAGTATAACATAGGAATATATATATATATATATAACTAAAAGGTCATGAGAACCATGTGATTTTGGAATACTTTTATATCATGTGTATTTCAAAATATCCAACGGCTAACTTTTTATTAATTTGTGTATATTATAATAGTTATTTGATCTATTTATTTTATTTTGGGGGGTTTGTTGAGGGGTGAGGGTGGAGTTGAGATGTCAACTTAGTTGGAACCATGGTCTTTATTTAGATTTGTCATAAATTAAATAAATTCGATTTTAATATGAATATCAAATAGCTACTGAAAATTTTGTAAAGTACTTAAACCTTTAAAAGAACATGATTCACATGGAGCACTAGTGGTTATCATGAGAAACTGACTGTCTTAGAAGGGAAAAAAAATAATGAGAGTAACAGGTAAAACCCACAGCCACTACTGAATTTAATGATTTGGTATTTGTATTTGAATTTTTAGAGAGAGATATATTATTTACAAGGGATTGAAGCTATATTAGCAATATTAATAGACAGTTCTAAAAATATCACAATAAAATCACTTTTAAAAGGTAGTTGCATATTTGCAACCTGGACAAAATAATAATAACGTACTACTTATAACACGTTATATTACATTGACAATTTTTAAAAACTCTTACCATTAACCTATACGACTTAAATGCTCACGTTATTTTCTATTTACTTACCAAACACTCAGAAAAATATATAGAAAATAACATGTAAAACGTGTTCTCCTTTCCTACCAAGAGACACTCAAAGAATTAAAAAAAAAAAGGGCCTATAAAGGTGAAGTTAAAGACATGTTGTCACGTAGTGGGGATGTAGCTAGTAACTAGGCATTCCTCTCATGGGTTGTAAAGAACCTAGCAAGACAAAAGGGACCATTACCATTCACTTCTTTTTGCTAATTGACAAAGAGTTAGTAGAGATAATTCCATCTTGCATCAAAAATGTTTCCAAAACTTATTGTTCCATTGATACAAGAAACAAATAAGAATTGACAACATGATTATTTTGACAGATAAAAATATCAAGGGTTATGTTCACCCCTCTTAATTGAGTTTGACACTAGCTTTCAAGAAATATCTTGGTTGCTTTTTCCTGTACTAAGAGATCATTGGTATACAGCTGATATTTTAAACAGATCACCAAGACTAAGCCTAAGTAACTAACAAATTACAGTACTATTTAGACTTGAATAGACTATAAAGAAAGCAGTTTCTTAGCCGGCTATAAGCATCTAACAAAGTAAACAATCTTTAAAGGTACTAACAAGAGGAGTTTGGCTGCTCCTGTACCGAATTATCACATAAGTTACAAGCATATCACAATTCCAAGTCCCGGTTAGTTCTTTGAGAATCTTCAAATTATTTCTATAAAAAAAAAACACAATGAAATGATCGGGGCATTCTAGGAGGGTTAAGAGGGTATGGAGAGGAAAAGGGGGTCCAAATTACCATCCATGTTGTGCTTGTTCATGAATAGGGCTATGAAAGCCAAAAACACACATTCGCCTACAGTAACATTACAATGAAGGCAACATTAACAATGAAACACTTCTGTGACAATTGTGTAGCAGAAAAGATAATATAACATAGTTATCTGCAGCAGATAAAATGTAATAATCTCTAGATCCTTATCAAAGATTTTGCAACAATAGATTGTAGCATGGTTTCTCGTAAAAAATAATGGCAAGAGCTCATCATCACTGCTGTTGAGCTGAAAAGAAAACCTAAACTAAACTGATGCACTTGTATTTCAGCAGTAACTGAGCATTAATATTCTTCTAATATTTGCAAAATTTTGAACAATGGAATACAAAAATATTGCCCATGATAAATTCCAAGGCAGCATTCGAGATGAGAAATCTAGGGTACAGACTCCATCCATATTGGATGAGTAAAACCAACTTAAGCATCTTTCAGGAGATAACAATCACCTAAATGCATTTCCATTCTGAAGAAATAAGGTACCTTTGCAAGTGTACCAATATAAGCTACACATGGTTGAAAAATGTTCCATAGCCAATTTTTTAGGCTGATAGAACCAGATTAGATTTAGAAACACTATCAACGTCCATACAGTGGACCAGAATATCTCACATAGGGAAGAAACTTGACGGAAGGGCCTACATTTCAACTTACAAGCCAAAAAACATGAATATAAAGGCAAAGAGCTTTTCAAGAAAATATTCTTGAACAAGTTACGGCCATTCAAGCCCGGTACAACAAAGAACGAAAGAGAACAGCTCAAATGGCATTTCTGACGATTTTGCAACAGAGAAACAAATTTTTTTCCCAGAAATAAAGTTAACCTGGTAATTATTCATAATCAAAACTGATAATTGGTCACCACAAGGTGCTAAGAAAACCTACACATCATTTATTGTCTCCGTCAAATAAAAGCAGAGTAGCATGTCCAATTAACCCTCCAGTGCTGATGCTCCTGATATGATCTCAATCAACTCTGTGGTGATAGATGCTTGACGGGTTCTGGTTCACAGAAAAATTAGAAGAAGACTGGTTAAATGACAGACAACAAAGAGCTGATCAACTATCAATAATATAAGTTATCCTCATAATTAAACAATCATCTGAGGTAAACAAAGTATGCATCTATGAGAGCTTGGCAGTGCAAATGTGTGTGATAGGGACAGGGTGAAAAGTAAGACCTGTTGTAAGTAAGAGTGAGACGATCAAGCATGTCACCAGCATTTCTGCTGGAACTATCCATGGCAGACATTCTTGCTCCTTGCTCACTAGTAGCGTTCTCTAGAACTGCATTGTACATCATCTGGAAAAGACAGATTGCCATTTACCCAATTTTAGAACATCATATTCATCACCTTGAAAGAAATCATTTTATTAGCAGTCAATATAATTATCTGAAGACTGATTTCATTCTCCCACTACCAAATCAGTACTTAGAAGTCTGAAGATCAAACAACAAGCTTATTAGAGGATTCTAACACTAAGAAGGCGAAACTTACGCATGAGAATTGAAATTCAGTTAGGTTCTGAAGAACTTCACCCTTTGTCTCAGCACCTTCAATTTCATATAAATCCAAATCTCCAAGCTTTCCACCAGATTCAGCTTCCCTCTCCACAACCTACATTAAACCACAAAGGACTTGTTCCAAGAAACAGACACTCACAATAGAAAGAAACATAGTGAACAACAAGATCTTTCAGTTTAGGCACCTCAGGAGATAGTACAGTGGACACTGTTGGCAAAAATGAGACAACTGACTGGAATTTATTATACACAATCCTCAGTGCATCAAATTCAACATTCTTCAAGATGTCATCTGCCATCACAGAAACCTACAAGAGGAATGGCATAAATCAGTAGAAGGAAAAGGTTATAGAAATCAATATAAATAGTTGTTGCTATATTTTTTCAGTGCACAAGTATTGCAGCCACTATAAGATTTTCAATTAATACACAGAAATTTAAAGTTGCAACAATGCAATCAAACTGTTTGCTTTTTGCACATGTTTTTTTGAAGAAAAGGCAAGTTTGTTTTTACAAGAGTAAAGCTAACAAAAATGTAAATCTGCCAAAGTTGACATTCTGGAAACAAAAATAAAGAAGAGTAAGACAGCTTTCCAATATCTACTATTTCTGTAACAAAATGCAATACATAAATTATATCACAGATTCATGAACAGATCTAACAAAAAAAATGTGAGCCTATACTACATGGACTCAGCTAATGATCTGGTTAAGTTAAGGTGTGTGCAAGTATCCTAAAAAAAGGTGGTGTGCAAGTATCCTAAAAAAAGGCGGTGTGCAAGTATCCGATACAGGTACATGCAATGTTTGTGTGTAAGCTCCAATAAATGTACATCAAGTCTCTTGCTAATTTGCCTGTATTTTCAATATCATGCACAAAGTACCATCACCCATTTCACACCAGCGACAAGGCTACGCTAAGGCAACAAAAAAATCCATGTACCAGAGAGTGAGCCTACAGCAGCATCAACTTCAGCAAATAGCTGGCAACAATTAAAAAAAATAGTGGGTGTGCTTCAAACAAAGTAGTAAGAAAGAAGATTTAAGGCATCATAACCTGTGTGTAGTTAAGAGGATTTTTCTGCAACTCAGTCATGACCAGCTCAATGTCCTTTTTCGAATCTCGCACCAGCTGAGCCTTTGCCTTTTCCCCCAAGACAACATACTTATTTTCCTTATCAGGACCTAGCAATTACAAATAAAGCAATAATGAACTAATTCCTCAAGAATAGATATACTTAAGATTAAACAATCTAGCATTATACCAGAATTCAACTTATGCATAGCCCTGCTTATCTTGACAGATGTAGAATTGATTCCACCACAAAGACCTTTGTCTGCGGAAATGGTAACAATAACATTCTTCTTGACATCAATACCTGAAGCAAACATTACAGATGTTACCAGCCATATATTGAAATCTAATTGACTGCTTAATGTTGACTGCATCAAATTACAAACTCCGGAGCAACTAAAGATATCTCACAAAGTCTCATCAACGACACACATTTCCACAAGATAATTATTCAGTTGTTGCATCAAATACATAGAACATTGACATTGGACTGAAAATCAAGAGGCAGAGAGAGGCAAACAATTTCATTTTATCATTTTCCCACATTTATCAAGTATGTCAACTCAAAATATTCTGGGAATAGCATTCTCATAATATGATCCATCCCTATCCTTCCACCATTTCTCTCACAACTGATTCAAGAATTTGGTTAGATCCAAACAATCTAATCATGAACTTACTAGGAGTGTCACCAAGAAGGGCAGTAAATGGCTGCCATAGGCCGCGTGAATTTTCAGCTCTAGTTTGAATAGCTCTGAGCTTTGAAGCAGCAACCATCTTCATAGCCTTCGTAATCTTCTGAATATTTTTGACACTCTTCATCCGGTTTCTGACTGCCCAAGGGAATGCTCAATGTGAACACTTAATGTAGCAACAAGAAAATTGGTAGAGAAGATCACGAGAATATAGGAGAGGCAAAGGAAAATGGGGTGCATCAAATGATTACGGCTGACTCTTACCAACTTGAGTTGAAATACATCGAACTCCTGACAAGACTGGTTCCCTGCATATAAAGGTAGGTCATTAAAAAGGTAGAAACACTACAAAATAGAACATAATTTTTTTGAAAAAAGCTAATGGATAATAATATATATTAATATAAGCCAAGATGATGAGCATGAGCCTGTTATAAATGCAGATAGGGAGATCATCAGTCTCCTGTTGAACATACAGGCCCATGGAACAAATTTCATGTCAGTGCAGCAACCCCCATAATCCATTCAAAAAAAATCACAATTTATAGACATTAGTTGAACTACATCTATTTTTCTACATTGTTCTCGCTACAACTTCTGTTTCAAAAACCTCTGAACTCTGTACTTCTTCCAAGATCCAAAATCACTCTCCAAGCTCAGATCATGTCAATTACAAATCTATATAGGGTCAAAATTTAAAGCAACCTATTACTTTCTGCCCAAATAACTAGTAATATTTTCTTAAATCTGAAAATATATATATATAACCATTTCACCAACAAATCGAAATCCAGTGGACTTCATACAAGCTTTAACAACATAAACCATCAATTCTTAGGATTTAGAACTGCAGACCACTTTGGGAAGAAAAGGAGAAGCAGAAACAACCTTTTAGCGTTTGTCCTGCTATTAGATTGAATAAAAAGCAAGCTACCTCCCTTAACTGAAGAGAAAAGGAGAAACTCCCCCTTGTCAAAGATAACAACACGAATGTTACTAATTCCTCAAACCAAATTACTTCACCAACTGAATAATTAACCTCATAGAGATATAAAAATTGTTGTCCAAAACTCATGAGGTGATTTCAACCCTAAATTGCTAGAGGCTTCATCATTGATAAATGTGCTCCTGTACAAAACAAAGCAATTGCCATCTAGTGGTGGCCCAGCGATTGAAAAATCAACATGGCAACCTTGGGGAACCAAGGTTCAAATTCCACGGCAAAACGAGCGCAGGCACCACCATTACAACAAAACAAAACAAAAAATAGAGCCATCAATCAATTCATTTCCCCTCAGTCCTAAATTATCTGGGATCAACTCTACGAATCACTAATATACATTCCATATCTAATCACAACAAAAACGACAGAGCCAGATTGACTTAACGAGATAGCTACAAAGAATCAATGCGAGTCATTACTGACAACAGATTCGACACATACAATAAAAAAAACCATGATAAGAGTGTAGGATTGGAAGAAAACTAACTCAGAAGGAATGATTGAAGAACGAAAAACAGTGGCAGGATTGGGAGAAATCAGAGGTGTGGCGAAACGCCTTCCCTCACGCCTCAACGCAGCCATGGCCATTGTTGATCCGATTCGATCTGATCGGCACCTTCCTCCTCAGGCTTATCCTCTTCGCAGATCGACAAATTTACGCTAGGGTTTACAGTCGCTTGAAATGTCAGCTGAGACACAGTAAGGATCCGAGTCGCTGCCCCGAAAATGTTTTAAAGCTGGATGTAATGCGGTGTCGTTTGTTTTCCGCTACGAATGGGTCAAGTTATTAAAGTACCTGCCCGATTTAGCTTCATACGAAATTTAGGAGAAAAACAAAAGGAACTTTTTAATATTTCAGATCTTGAATATATTTATTTAGTTTTAAAAAAAAATTATGTTTGTATATTTATTAATCAGTCTTAAATAAATAGGTTATAATATTTATTTTTATTTAGTTGTACAAAAATTTAAATGTTTATAGATTTATTTATCATCTTAAATAAATAAATAGGTTGTAATATTTATACCGTGGAAGTTTTTTTTTTTTAAATACTAGAAAAGGGAAAGCATGTGCTCCGCACGGGGCCAATCATTATTATTAGAAGGGAAAATTGTATACAATGACAAAAAATGTTATAACCACACTTTTATTTAATTGTGTCATGTAACAAACTGTTTGCCAATCACCTCTCTCCCTCAAATTCTCGTTTGTCACTCTCCTTCTCTCGCTTCATCTCTCGATCGCTCCCTCTTACTTTTATACAAACACAAGTGTATAAAATGTATTTTTATTTGGATAAAGCGAGAAAAAATTGTATATATACATGTATTTTCGTTCCCCTCTCGCCACTCTTTCAAATCTCACTCGTCATCCTCGCCTCTATCACTTATACAAATAGAAATGAAATGTATAAATCGTATTTGTTTGTATAAAGCGAGAGAAAATTGTATATACACTTGCAAATAAATATATTTTTCGTCCTATACATTTATAATTATACAATACAAATATTTCTCTGCCCAGTTTTCTTTTATTTTTTTCTCTTTCTCATTTTATACGTGCACAAATTATACAATGGATTTGTATACAACTGTTTTCTTGGTTCCTCTGTGTATGTATGGCGAATTATAAATATATTATGGAGCACAATTATGCAAACTTTGTTATAACATACAAATATAAAATTTGTGTTTGCTATATGTGAAAGTTAGTCTTATTAGAAAAGTAAAAAATTTTAGTTTTAGCAAACATATAAATCATACTTATATGTTATAGTTATAGTTTGCATAATTGCGCTTTACAATGAAATTTACAATTTTTTTATGGCTATTAATATGTATATTTTGGTACACTTATATAAACTGATCAATTGTATTAAGTATATATTTGGAATCTGTGTACAAATAAGAAAGTATTTTTTTGTCTAATCTGTGTTTGTATAAAACGAACAAAGAAAAAGGAAAAAGAGAAATGGGCAGGTGAAAATTTATATTGTATAATTATAAGTGTATAGAACAAAAAGATATGTATATGTATTTGTATATGTAGTCTTCTTTCGTTTTATACAAATACAAACACAATTTATATATTTGTGCTATATAAAGTGACGTGAGTGAGAGAGTGGCGAAAAAAAGATGTGCATTTGTATGTGTAAATATAGTTTTCTCTCGTTTTATACAAATATAAACATAATTTATATATTTGTGTTTGTATAAAGTAAGAGACGCGAGAGAAAATGGCAAGCGAGATATTCGAGAGATAGGCGAATGACAAAATATTTGCTACGAATTATTATTAAATGGAACTGTGATTATAACATTTTATTTTAATTAATAATTTTCTATTTTATACAATTTTCCCTTATTTGATATTTATAATTTTTATTCATGATATTTTTTATTTCTTAAAACACAATAACATTTCTTTATTTTCTACTAATAATATCAACGAACTACTTAACATTAGCAATCAAAGAGGATTTATGAATATAAGAGAATTTGAGAAATAATAAGCAAATGTATTTCTTAGTTATTAATTAATAACAATAAACTATGATAGAATTTTGGATAATTAAATCAAAAATTTAAATTTAAATCATAGGCGTATTTTCTATATTTTAAATAGTACTTATTTAGTATGATTTTTTTGATACTGTAAATTTAAAAATATACATAATTAATATATGTATAAATTATAAAAAATTATATATTATTCTATGTAAGATAGAAAATGAAATAATTAAAAAACAAAATTTCTTAATTAATGGAGTATTTATTTAAAATTATATAGTTAGCATATCAAAGTTTTTCATTTTTTCTTATCATATTTTACCCTCGACATTAATTACTCATTTCAAATTATTTTAATAAAACATATAATTATGTCAATTAATATAAGTATTGCGGTAAAATAGTAATATCAATTAGAATTTGAAAGCCATACAAATTCTAAAATTAACAAATGGAAGAAATTGCAAATATTCATCGATCCTAGAATGTAAATGGACAATATTCAAGTAGCCACAGTAGTTTTTGCTACGTAAATATGTATAAGCAAATACAATTGCAAATTAATAGACGTAATCTCAATTTTATTTAAAATCTAAATAAGCAAGCAATCATGTTAATGAAATGTTGTTTGCTTATTCAACCTCTTTTTTATAGTAATAAATAATAATGAAAGGTTTATACTTAAATTGCTTTTAAATTTAGAAATTTATTATTTTTTGGACTTGATAAATTTAAGAAAAAAATCAAACTCCAATTGACACTCGAACATAGAACTCCAATTTTTTTCCCCGCCAAACCATTTTTCTCTTTACTTTTTATATTATTTGTATAGATTTATATTTAGGCAATTAGTTCCATTATAATGTAGGTGTATATCAATCGAAAGTTGTTTATAACATATGACATACCCCTTTACTATTTTTATTTTGTTTTCCAAACCTACAATACATTTTATTTTCTTGAAATATTTGATTTGAAGCAAAACTTTATACTATTATGGGATGTTTTCAAATAATTTATGTTGAATTCTTTTTGAATAATTTTGTTGAGCTTTTTTTTTTAATCCAAATTCTGAACTTTTCAAAATTCTATTTTGCAAAATAAAGTATAAAATCGAATAATCGAGGAGTTATATTATTTTATCAGTAATTATACTACTCATACCAAGTACTAGACGGTAAGGTATTGTTTGGTATTCGGTATCGAATAGTCATTTATTATTAAATTAGCTATTCTGTTCTTTAAAATATGAAGAATTAATTTCATTATTTTAGTATATTTCTAATAGGAGATAAATTAAATCAAGAGTTTAACCAAAGTTATTTAGGAGTTGGTATTTGATATATTATATTGGAATAAATTTCTTAATTGTGATTCTAATCCAATTTGGTTTGTACTAAATTTCTTAATCCTAATCCTAATCAAATTTTATTTTGTAGTGTTATTATTATAAATACGATTGCTCCATTAAATTTTTCTTATAGTGAAAATTTAAGTCATCGAGTAATACCTCTTGCCTCTTTATTTTTTATTTTTTATTTTTTTTGGTATTGGATTTTTTCGTTTATAAACTATACAACCATGTTTTGGTCATGGCTGTTGGAGTCTGTTCTCAAGAAGGTACCATTGCCGTTTGCAGCCAAACAGCCCCTAACAGACCAACCTAAACCTACTTCTCTTTCTTTCCCGGGGATAACGGCATTGTCGTCGGAGAAAAGATGCTTTTACGAGGTCCTCGGCGTGAACTGCGACTGCACCCCGAACGAGATCAGGTCGGCTTTCAGGAAGCTCGCACTGCAACGCCATCCTGACAAGCTCGTCCGATCCGGCGTGCCGGAATTTGAAGCAACCGCTATATTTCAGGAGCTTGTGAACGCTTACGACGTTCTCTCAGACGCGCAGGAGCGTGCTTCGTACGATTCCCAGCGCTCTGCCTATCAGATACTCTTCTCCAATTCCGATCCAAAGAATTCGTCTAATTACTCCGGTTCCGTTCCCGATCTGTCCTCCTTCTTTTCAAATTCAGTGTATTCTGGATATTCCGATGAGAGGAAAGGATTCTACAAGGTGTACGGTGATCTCTTCGAGAAAATCTACCACCGTGAGTTGAATTTGGCTAGGAAGTTAGGTACAAATTTGCCAGAAGAAGCTCCTATTATGGGAAATATGCAGAGTCCTTATGCTCAGGTTACGGCATTCTATAACTATTGGTTAGGATTCGCTACTGTGAATGATTTTTGTCAGTCAGATGTGTACAAATCGACTTTGGCATCGGACAGAAATTCCAGACGGATGATGGAAGATATTAACAAGAAGCTGAGGAAAAAGGCGAAAAGGGATTACAATGTGACTGTTAGAGGATTAGCGGAGTTTGTTAGAAGGAGAGATAGGAGAGTGATTGAGATGCAGATGAAGAGGAATGAGGAACTTGAGAAGAAAAATGAAGAAGGACGCAAGAGAATGGAGGAATTGGAAAGAGAGAAGGCTGAGAGAGCAAGAAATTACGTAGAGCCTGAGTGGACGAGAACAGAGGAATTACAAGATGGAGGCATCGAAGAGGAGGAGTCGGAGGAGGAGGACGAAGAGGAGGAATTGTACTGTGTGGTGTGTGGGAAGAAGTTCAAGAGTGAGAAACAATGGAGAAATCACGAGCAGTCCAAGAAGCATAAGGAAAATGAGAAAATGGCAGCTTTGACATGACGAAGATGATGGACGGAGCAAGTCGCCTGCGGTGTAAGTTTATGTTGCATTTTTTTAATTTGAGATTAAAAAAATTATATATCGAATATTTTGAATTATTAATTATGTTAATTTATAATATCATAAATTTTATTTTAAAAAAATTAATTTTTTTAATTAAATTTAAATTATTTAATTTTTTAAAAATAAAAAATATCATATAAATTAATACAAATAAAATAATTTTTGACCTTACATAATAATAATGATGTGTTTTATTTGAAATATCCTATGGTTTTTTGTGACTAAACTATGTTGTTAAGATTAAAATATCATTAAATCTATTTTCAAAATTAAATTAATAACAAATAATGTCATGAGAAGGGTATGCATGAACTGCTAATTGACATCTAATATATTTGAAATTGTGCTGATTTTTCACTTCCACCTTTACGAAATGTGTCACATTATTAAATTTGTATTTCAAGTAGTTTATTTAAATTTGTATTTCAAGTAGTTTATTCAGTCTAGTTTAATCTCAAATTTTTTCTTGAAA